GGCTATTTTTTGGTTGCAGCCATCATTGTTGTTTGGAGGGTCCGGGCTGGGGATTCGAACCCACCACCTTAGGTGTACGTGGCTGGCGCCTTAGCCAGTTGAGCTATAGGCGCCGAGCCGAGTTTCAGTTTTTAAGGTTGAAAAGTTTTGGATGATGGTGGTGGTGGTACAATGATGCAAATGTATATAATGCCACAGGGCTGTATACTTAAAAATGGTTAAAATGGTACATTTTGGGTAAATTTTTCCACAATTAAAAATAAACCAAAAAAAATGCACTGATGGATATACAGAGGGATAGCTCTATTATAAAGCAAATATAGCTAAACGTTAACAACTGTAGAACTTAGGTGGTGAGTACATGCATTCATTGCACAGCTATTTCAACTCTTCTGTATGTTTGAAATCCTTCACAGTAAAATGTTAGAAAAATTAGGTATAGAAAAATAGTAGAAGTGAGGGGTGGGGAAGGAGGTGATGGGTAAATTCACACCTATCAGGTACAGTGCACACTATCTGGGTGAAGGGCACACTAACTTGTATAACTTTGACTCAATCTGTACAAAAACAAAATTATGTAAACAACTCATCTCTACCCTTAACATTTTTTTTTTTTACTTTGTAATATTCTGGAAAAAAAATAGCAGAAGTGTATAAATTAGCACAACATTCCTAGGGAAAACATTCAGCAGCATTTATCAAGAGACTCACCTCATTAATCTCCTATTCTAAGGGAATAATTGGAAATGAGGACAAAGATTTATGTAAGATTGGAATTGTTGCTTTAATTCTTGCCAGAATTTAGCAAGAATGGCTAGAATTTTGTTTATGGGAAGATATTTGACTACTGATTCAGTTCCTTTAGTCACACTATGGGCAGACTCTGGGATGATCCCCAGTGGTCTCTACCTCCTGGAAATAACCCTTTGTATAATCTCCTACCCTTGAGGGTAGGTGGGATGTGTGATTTACTTCTAACCAATAGAATATGGCAAAGGTAATGGAATGTCACTTCCATGATTAGATTATACAGGATTGTAATGTTGTCTTGGTAGCAGACTTTTCCCATTTCCTTTTTAGCTTGTGTACTTTGATGATGCACATGGCTGTGCTGGAGAGGTCCATCTGGCAAGAAATAGAGGGTGGCCTCTGGCCAGCAGACAGCTAGGAATTGAGGCCCACAGTCCAAGAACTCTGCAATAAATGTATTCTGCCAACAAGCATGTAAACTTGGACATGGAGCCCTCTCCAGTTGAGCCTTCAGATGAGACCCCAGCCCTGGATAACAATTGCAGTCTTGAGAAAGACCTCAACATAGAAAACTCAACTAAGCCATGTCCAGACTTCTAACCCACAGAAATTATAAGATAATAAATATGTGTTTTAAAATTGATAAGTTTGTGGTAATTTGTTATAGAACAATAGAAAACTAATACAACTAATTATAGAACAATTCATATATTTTATTTCTTTTTGATTCAGTGTTGGAGAGTCATAGTTTTCTAGGAATTTGTCCAATTTCTAATATATTGGCATAAAGCTATTCCTAACATATTTCTATTTCAAAAACTTGATTGTAAAATATAACTCACATACAGAAAGGTGCATAAAATAGAAATGAATACTATAATGTGTAATTATAAAACAAACATCTGTGTATTCACTACCCAGCTCAAGAAATAAAATATTGCCAGCACCACGGGAATCCTCCGTTGCCCTTCTCAATCACATCCCTCCCTTCCTCTTAAGGGTAATCATCCTTGTATTTTTATGATAATCTCTGCCTACTATTACAGTTTTATGGCTCTTTGTAATTTATCCATCCCTATACAATATAATTTAGATTTTTCTGTTTTTGAACTTCACATAAACATCTCCTGTGTTTTCCTTCCTTAGCTCATCAGTCTATGATGTTGTGAAGTTCTAGTTTATTTTCATTGCTGTTTAATACTCCATAGTATGATTATAAAAGGTTTATTTATCCACTTTACTATGGATAAGCATTTGAACTGTTTCCAGTTTGGGTGTACATAAACAACTCTATTCTGAATGTTTTTTTACAATGTTTCATGGTATGTAGTATGCACACTTCTTAGGGGATTCTTTTTCAGTGGTGTTGCTGCATCACAGGACATGAGTATTTATACCACTTACTAGAAAGTCCCAAACTCTCCCCCAAAGTGATTGTACTAATAATATACACCAGCAGTGTATGGGAGTCTCTGGTATATCACACCCATATCAGTACTAGGTGTTGCCAAACTTGAATCTTATCTGACTGGTGTGTATAGTGGTATTTCATTATAGATTTTGAATGTCCCTGATTATTTATGGAGTTAAGCACTTTTCCAAATATTTATTGGCCATTGGAATTCCTTTGTGTTTTGTGAAGTGTATATTACATTTATTTGTACATTTTTCTATTGGTAGGTTTGTCTTTTTCTTGTTGATTTGTGGGAGTTCTTTACATATTCAGGATAGGATTCCATCAGTTTTGTGTGTTCAAGTATTATTCTACTGTGTGGCTTATTTTTCCCATTTTCGTTATGGAGTCTCTGTATTTTAATATACCTAAAGGTACATACACATCTTTTCCTTTGCACTCACTTATGTACCTTGTTCTCTCCTTTGCATGGGTAATAGTTCACATTTTTATTATTTATTTGTTTATTTATTTTTGAGACAGTCTCATCATGTCACCCTCAGTAGAGTGCTATGGCATCACAGCTCACAGCAACCTCAAACTCCTGGGCTCAAGTAATTCTCTTGCCTCATCCTT